AGATTGTATGAATGGTTTGAGAATGATAGTAATGTAGCTTAATTTATATTTTTGTAACACATATGTCTGTCTTTTTGTCTTAGGTATATTAGGTATAACCAGTGTAAATGAGAGAATTCTTATTTTATTTTTAATTTGATTTTAGAAATTCATTAGAAAAACAAACAAACAATACAAAACAAATAAATTTATGTTAAATAAATAACTATTAAATATATAAAAATATGTATTAAAAATATAAACTAAATTGATAGCATAATAGTTTATTGTTAGGATATTTACATAACAAACACCTTACACTTCTATTATAAATTTGTTAACATTAACTCACCTTCATGGATAGAGTGTCTCTGTGGACATTTTGGGGATATATGTTCTTCTTTTAAGTGTAAGGTTGATATGTGAGATTGTCGTGGACATGTTTTTGTGGATAGATTGACGTGTCACCATTGACAGGTTGATGTGGATAGGTTGCCTATAATGTAAGGATGCCGTGGGCAGATTGTTATGAGCAGGTTGTCGTGGACAAAAAGTTATGGACAAAGTGCCTATAATGTAACAGAGACGTGTAATATACTTAGATAAGTACTTCTATTACCGTAAATTTCTATGATCTTATGAACACATAGATTGTAAATTGTATATGGGTTTATATGGATGAAATTATATTGAATCATTGATGGTGTAAAAAAAAAAACTATCCACAATCGATCACCATAAGCTTCAAACATTTCATTCACCCATCCACTATTTATGATTCTAGTTTAGTTACTGATCAACCACGCAAAATTGATCAAGCATTATTGACCACACAATGTGTACTTCCAACACTCACAAGTGCCTAAAATCGGGCTACCAACACGATTATAACAATTTTGTGGATCTACACCATCAATGATTCAATATATATTCATTTATACAAACTCATGTGTGCATATAATAACTTAGTTTCCAACAGCCTTTCATTTTATTTTCACAATTATTGTCGGATTCATTTTTTTGAGTGGAGATGAAGAGAAAACAATTTGTCGCTGTCGCATGAGGATTTTTTTGGGAAAAGTGCAGTAAAATGTTTTATTTTTATTTTTTTATGTGGCGATAATTTTTTGTTTACCGTCAAAAATGAAAAGTGTTAGAAAAGGGTAGGATTATCATTACAGGTAAAAAAATGCCTAAATTGCTGAAAGTATTTGTTTTAGTAATATCAGTTTCAGAATGTGCCTCTGAGTGTAGTAAAGCTCTCATTTGATAGTTTTTTTTGCAAGAAAGCACTTTCGCCAATTTCACTTAAAACATGCACTTTTTGATTTTAGCAGACTTTTGAGTTTTATTTGGATCTAGACTACATATATTATCCTTGTCAAGCAATGACGAAGAAACATTGTAAAAGGCACTTATAAGTTTTATCACTGCTAGAGTAGTTACAGATCCTCGCCTCTGTCTCGTGAGAGTGATTAATTGAAAGGCAATGTCTACATGGGAAATCACTGGCTCCAGCTTGCAAAGGCTTTCGAAATTTTCAAAAATTTTGTTTCAAAAGTTTATGTGGACAAGTTGTCATCGACAGAGTGCCTATGTGGACATGTTGTGGATATATATTCTTCTTTTAAGTGTGAGGTTGATATGTGAAGTTGCCATAAACATGTTTCCGTGGACAGATTAATGTCTCAACGTTGACAGGTTGATGTAGATAGGTTGCCTATAATGCAATGATGCAGTGGACAGGTTGTTTATGAACATGTGTCGGTGGATAAGTTATCGTGGACAAAGGGTTATGGACAAAGTGCCTATAATGTAATACAGACATGCAACAAACTTGGATAATTACTTCTATTACTGCAAATTCCTATGATCTTTTGTACACATAGATTGTAAGTTATAGATGGATTTGTATGGATGAAATTATATTGAAACGTTGATGGTGTAGGAAACAACGTTATCCACAATCGATCATCTATAGGCTTCGAACATTTCATTCACCTATACACTATTTATGATTCTTGTTTAGCCCCTGATTAACCATGCAACACTAACCAAGCATCGTTTACCATACAATGTGTACTTCCAACACCCACAAGTGTCATTACCAGATGATAATTTTTTTTGGGAAAAGTGTAGTAATATGTTTTTTTGTTTTTTTTTTAAAATGTGCAATAAGTTTTGTTTACTATCAAAGGTAAACAGTGTTAGAAAATGGTAGGATTGTCATTGCAGGTAGAAAAAGTGTTTGAATTGCTGAAGTATTTGTTTTTTGTAATATTAGTTTCAGAAAGTGCATCTGAGTATAATAAACTCTATCAAAAAACAACATAGAGAGAAACATATCAATGAAATTAATACAAGTTGATGGAAAAGTCGACAAGGAAGTAGAGTTTGAGCATGATTTATGTTCCAGCAGTTATGACAAAGTTTACTGTATGATCTAGAGTTTTCACGGAGTTTTATCCCTCAAGGATGGGAAGATTATTAGTGTGTACTGTAATAAGGAGGAGCTTCAGATAAGGATTTATAGCCAGTGAGCTTGAGTTATAAAACTTAATGAAAAGGGATATAATATTAGATCCAAGGATCTTAGGCTGGTGGAACATGACAGAATTGTGTAACACAAGAGGTATTGCACAGCTGTTGCAAAGTCGCTGAAAGTACGTGGGATTATTACTGGCACAAGAGATGTGTTTTAATGTAGAAATCAAGAAAAATATGTTAGATATGCATTGAAATCTTATGAAAATATCAAGAAAAATGAAATACTTGAAAAAGATGAAATTTCTAATGAAGATAATTCCATATCTGCATAATGGATGAATATTGAAAGCATGATAGTTTGGACTCTATAAATACAAGATTTATGAGTCAAACTAGGGTTAACCGAAATATTGAGAGAAGAGAAGAAATCCAAATTTTGGTCTTTATTGACGAGGATGGCAGTATGTGGATACATTCGGTGTCCTAAAATCTCTTTAAATGAGTGTATGGATACTTATGTGTCCATAACCAAGTGAGTGGATATTGAAGTATGGATAGCAGTGTGTGGATATGTCTAGTGTCCTAGAGTTTGCTTACATGAGTTTGTGGTCATTGGATTGTGTCTATGCAGTGTGTCTATTAGAGCGTGTACATAAAGTACGTTCATGAAAGGGTATCCATTAATCTTGTCTATTTTTTGTGTACATAAGTGTATTATCCTTTCACTTTTTGTTTCCTATATATAAATATTTTCTCGATTTATCCTGAAATAGAAACAGCAGTAGCCAATACATAACTTTATAAGAGTGTATGTATGTGTGCACAATGTTTTTTCTATCTCCGGCTCATAAAGATATAGCTTCTAACTAATAAGTTTCATTACCTTTAAAAATTAAAATTATTTTCATCAAAAACATTAAAACCTCAAACTGACCTCAAACTGCAGGTTAAGCAATAATTATCCAATCCTATTCATATATAACTTAATAAGCTAATAAAAATCATAACTCATAAGCATATATAAGAATCTATGGTCAAATAGACGAGAAGTATGGACACCTTATCATGGATTAATATTCATGGACATAAACATTTGGACACCCTTCCAAATTCATTTATATTGTCCAAGAGCTAATGGTGGATTTGGAAACTAAGACCTTGCTTCCGCTTCTCTGTACAAAGTTAGAATTTTCTTTTCACTCTCTAGAATCTAGACTGGGAAGTCAATTTCACGTCTAAGAATAACAATATAAATTCTGATAATTATGCCCACAAACACATAATAGCACATGCATAAAATGAAAAATATTGATTTAGAAGAGAAAGTATACAAATCTATGTTTGCAGGCTAACCGAAGCTTGCATTATGTTCGTCGGAGATCCAACAAGGTCGATTAAGCCTCTGGTGTAATACAAAAGAGACAGAAGATCAAGCTCTTCTTCGCCCTTGGTAAAGTCTCTGCTGGTTCTCCGTCGTCGCACTTTGTTACAGTTTTTCTTCTTCTTCCTTGGCTCCTTTTTGCTACGCTTTGTTTATTTGACTTATAACAGAACAGGAAAAGCTTACAAGAGAAATCATCATTCAATTTGACTTAGTAGCAAGCTGGTGGCGCTGATCTGCAAATAATGTGGTGGTAATGCTTCCTTTTTCTCTAATACTGTCAAAATTAAATAGAAAATAATAAGGATAATTTCAACTTTTCAACTGCAACAACAATCCCAAAAGTGTATAATAAGCAAAAATGCCCTAAAATATAAATAAAATAGATAAAGTGTCTTTATGCATAAACAACTCTATTTTTATGCATGACTATGGAAATGCTTCCAAGAATATCAATTTTATTGTTGATCTCAGCTCAGAAGCTCTCATGTTCAAAGTAAGGAAAAAAATTGCGAGAACGCACCTCGAATCATATAGCGATGCAAGTGAAGCAATAAAAGAAAAAAATGCAACTTTTTTTAAAACAACATCATTAATATCTTAGGATTTGATGATATCACGAAAGTAGTGCAAGATAATTATGATTAATTAGTAATATTATATATAATGAGAGTGTTGAAACCAAAATCCAACTGTTAAATTTGATATAATGAAGATGTTAAAAATGATTATAATATGATATAGATTTAACTGTGTTGATTTTTTTTAACATGTTAAAACGTAAAAAGAAAATAGATATGATGGCAAATTAATTTTTATTTTTTTTATATTAAAATTTATTATTTTGATATTTTATAAATAAAAATTTATTTTTATTATCTTGATATATAAAAAAGTATATAAAAATAGTAAAATATAGTATAAAATTTTATTAAACAAAATTATTGTAAAATTAAAAAATTTGACTGAATACTGAATTATTAGATGAAAAAAAGATAAAATAATGTGAAATGTTAAATATAAAAAATAAAATATTAGAAGTTGAACACAAAACATTTGTACACGTGTCATAAAATCATTGGTTATGCTGACGCAGTCGAGTTTTCTAACTCAATTAAAATGAAAGTATTTGTCATTTGTTCTTTCTCCAAAAGCAACCGCTTCTTCTTCTTCCTCTTCCCTCGTGATTTCATAATGAGACCTTAAGGCCTGACTCTCTCTCTCTCTCTCTTCTTCGACGCTTAGACGCCTCTGATTATCAACTTCTCCTGATTGCTCCTAATTTTCTTCTTCCCTGTACGATTTTTCTTCTTCCCTGTGCGTTTTTTCTTCCCTGATATTTTGTCTTTGATCTAAGATTAAAACCGCAATTTCTGGGATCTAGTTTTTGTAATTTTTATCTATAGTCAAATTCTCCTACTTTACATCTTCGAATGCGAATTTAAATTCCGTTTTTTCCCATCTATGTGAACCAGCTTAAGGACAATGCTTCGGCTTAGGGTTTACGCGGGGCTTAGTACTCTCGCGACATTAGCTGTGATTTACCATGCTTTTAGCAGCCGTGGTCAATTTTACCCAGCGACTGTGTATCTATCGACGTCGAAAATCAGTCTGGTGCTTCTTCTCAACATGGGTTTGGTCCTAATGTTCAGCTTATGGAATCTTGTGAAACTTGTGTTTCTGGGTTCACTTAGAGAAGCAGAGGTTGAGCGGTTGAATGAACAAGCGTGGAGAGAGCTCATGGAGATTCTCTTTGCCGTCACTATTTTTCGACAGGACTTCTCTGTTGGGTTTCTCTCTTTGGTTGTGACTCTTTTGTTGATCAAGGGTTTGCATTGGATGGCTCAGAAGAGACTGGAGTATATTGAGACCACTCCTTCTGTGACATTGCTCTCTCATGTCCGTATTGTTTCTTTCATGGTGTTCCTTCTCGTCTTGGATTGTCTCCTTACGTATAGTTCTTTACGGCAATTGATTCAATCACGGAAGGGTTCAATGTCTGTGTTCTTCACGTTTGAGTAAGTTTCTTTGAATTCCTTCTTGTTGCCATGGAATCAACTAGTTTTCTTGGGTTTGGTGTTATCAAGACAGGCTTGGTATCCTAGGCTAGAAAATTGGAGTTTTGTCTAGAATTGAAGCTTTAGGCTCTTTTGGGTGCAAGGAATTTGTGCTGAATTTTAAAAATGGTTGGATCTTCAACAGCTTACGTTAGCTATTAAGCACCAAAAAGACGGCCGCAAGAGATACAAAATTTATTTCATCTATATAATACCTTTGTTGATGTTTAGCTATGTATCCATCTATGGATAGTCCCCCCTGTTTAGCAGTTTGTTCTTACAATTAGTGAACCTTGCATTGTCTTAAGTGATAATTTTATGTTGCAGGTATATGATTCTGGCAACAACAACTGTCTCTTTAATAGTGAAGTATGCCTTCTATGTCACTGATATGATCAAGGAAGGTCAATGGGAAGGAAAACCAGTATATACTTTCTATCTGGAGCTTGTCCGTGACTTGCTTCACCTGTCCATGTATCTTTGCTTCTTCCTTATGATATTCATGTAAGTTATTTGTCCATACCCGTATTTCATTGTTCCAAAAATTAGATACTGAATTAACATGCTGCAGTGATTATGCCACAATTGAATACTGACTAAATTAACATGCTGAGGTTATCATGTCCAAAAATATATTTTTACATTTATGCACATCTATAAGTCTTCTCTTGGTTACATTAGTTCTTCGTATGTTTGTACTTGTAGACGATGAAAAATCATAAATGAGAAACAATAAGCAGCCACAAAGCCAAAACAATAGAGCCTACTCAATTCATATACCTGAGAATTTGCGTCAGTTTTATGCAACGAGGGCTTTAATGGCATCTTTGGTATGGTATCCTAATTCGAGTATCACTTTTTATTGCATAGGAACTATGGACTTCCCCTTCATCTAATACGGGAGCTCTACGAAACGTTCCGGAACTTCAAGATTCGAGTGACTGATTACCTCCGGTATCGTAGAATCACTTCCAATATGAATGATCGGTTTCCTGATGCAACTCCTGAAGAACTTAGTGCGTAAGTTCCAGATTCTTTATATTCTTGTGTATTCTAAATATCTTACAAGCCGTTTGCAACTGCTTATTCTTAACTTCATTATGGTTATATATCTATATTAATCTTTATGTGGGATTTGCAGAATTGACGCGACATGTATCATATGCCGTGAAGAAATGACCTCAGCGAAGAAACTAATATGTGGCCATCTCTTTCATGTGCATTGTCTTCGGTCATGGTTGGAACGACAGAACACATGCCCCACTTGCAGAGCGCTGGTTGTACCAGCTGAGAATGCTACATCGACAGCTTCTGGAAACCGTGGACCACACCAAGAACCTCTGCGTCAGGGTACTGATCTTGCTATTTATACATATTCCACAATGAATCTTAGTAATTTTTTGTCTTTGCTCTCAGTTCTATTTGCCTCTTGAGGTTCTTGGTATGGAGAATGACGTCAAGGTGAATCTTATCAGTTTTGGGAATCATTGAGACTAATAATGCTCTACGCTTTGAACAGGAACGGGTACTTCTAGTTCAGATGGCCAGGGTTCTTCTGAAGCTGCTGCTGCTAGTGAGAATATGAGCAGGCACGAGGCTCGCTTTCGAGCTGCTGCTTCTGCAGCGTCCATATATGGGAGATCATTTGTTTATCCACCTTCTGCAAACACTTTAGTATGGTATGTGTGGAAACTATATCCAAATAAAAAGATTCGGACACGGCTTTAGTTAGTGTCTTTCGAGTCTTCTAGTTTCAGCTATTACAGTGCCAGTTTCTCTCTTATGTCACATCATCCACTACATGATAGTAGAGAAAGAACTAACACTAAAACTGAATATTTGAAGGTCTCAAGGTAATTCATTGCTTCCTCAGACAGAGCTAGAAGCTCAGAAGAGATTTCTTGAGTCCCAAATTGAGGTATGTTGATATAATTTGTACAAATATTACTTTTTTTCGGTAAGCGGCTAAAGAGTTTCTATCACATTGTTTTTTTTCCTGGGTAGATGTTACACAACCAACTTCGGCTTCTGGAAAAGCCGGCAACTGTAGATACGAAAGGGAAGTCGGTTGCTGAAACTGCAGAGTGAACCATCAAAGCAAATGTGGTGGTCAGTTCGTTACATAAACAAAAGGATACAATGCGTGACCAGTAATTTAGGATTTTAGGGTAAAGAGAGGAACAAAAGTAAAACCCTTTAGACTGTGTGAATTGTTTTTGGTAGAGAGGATTTTGAAATGTAGCAAAGAGAGGAACAACAAATGTCTCTACACTAGCTTTTCGTTAAGTATTTTCTTGATATATCTCTAAGCTGGCGTGGCGTGTATTCGAGCCAGAAAAAAATGAGTATCCAGAAAAAACGAGTATTTACAATATAAGTAGCGTTATTGGTTTATATATTTGAAAAGCTAAACTAAAATAGTGATCAAATCCATCCTTCTTGTGTTTTTGATTAATGTGTTTAGATATTATAACTGTAAGCAGTTATATTCGATAGGTATTTGCATCTGAGAGTATCTCTAATGTATGATTGCAATGAATTAATTGCATAATGCATTTGGATGTTTCTCGTATGATTGCATTTCTTATTTTAAAAATAATAATTTAAGTAGATTTCTTAATTATAAATTTTTGATTATACATATATTTATCAAAATTTACAAATTGACTCATTCATTTAATTTATATTTAAAATTTTAATATTTTTATGCTATTATATTTTTTATTAAATAAATATTTGCATTTTAATTTTAAAAATTAGAATCTTTTAGTAGTTCAAATGTAAAATAGATTTCAAAAGAAGATGATTCTATATTTGGAATAAAAATATCATTATATCATTATACAACTGAAAATGAAATGGGGTTGGAGCATATTTTTTTTCAAAATGAAATTTAAAACCTTATCTGTATATATGGCTGGAGATGCTCTCAATATACTTAACAATAAATGAGATATTGTTATATCTATAGCTACTTGTTAAGTTTCCAATTATACATAAAAATACTTAGGAAGGGTGAGAGACTTTGCCAACATAAAAAGACAAAATCGCTCTCACATTAAATGATTTTATCCTTTCGACGAAACCTCTCATAACTTACAGATTCAGTTTCAGTAAAAACCCTAACACCGGAAGTGACGACACCACAGTCACACGATTTTGATATTCATCGTGTTTATCCCTGACGCCTACATAGTTGCTTAGAATAGCTATGCTCTCGCTTACAATTCGAAGAAACCCCCATAGACCAGTGAAGCGATTAGCGAATCTCAGTTACTACCCCAGAATCAAATCATCTTCGTTGATGTCGTCATCTTGGCGAACGAGCCATTGCACGATGGCCGGTTAGTGAAATAATCTCTGTTCGTTGGTGACACACTAGGTATCGAAAACTAATGTCTTTGTTTGTTGTAATACCAGATTGTGTGACTTTTGATATTTTCAATTCTTTTGAACCAATACAATTAAAAAAACTTTTGTTTTCTCCGAAATTATCATCTGGTTCTCCGAAATTATCATCTGGTTCTGATAAATAATTAGGTTTATAACTCAAACACACGAATCTGTATTAATAATTTTGTTTATTTTTTTAGCTACTATTTTTTAAATTATTAGAACTATAATAGATTTATAAACAATTTCTGTTATATAATAAAATTATAAATATAATTTTTAATTTTCTCATATTTTTATTTTTAAATTTTTAAATATTATTAAGTAAAATCATAACAATAACATCTATTTGTCGAATTATCCAACTTTGACGTACACATACATTTGATTTAGAGAATGATTTTCTTGCTAAGATCTTGGTGTTTTGTTTTGTTTTCTATAGGATTTCTACAGTTTTTTTTGCTTTAAAGTTTACGTGTTCAAATATTTAGTTTTTTTTTTATGGAATATCTCATTGATATTGTGTACCTATGTATATATAATCTATGATTCATATTGATTCACATTTAGTTTTGTTAGGAAGCTGCAATGGTTGTGTAAAACCGTTTCTTGCTTCTCTAACAGGTCTTCCAAGTGTTTTAGCTTATATCTTTAATCAGTATATTATTGAGATCTATGTTTTTTTACAGTTTAATATTTTTATAATTTTAGTGTTGAAACTTGTAGGACTTTAGTGTGGAGTTTTCACTTTTTATACTAATTTATGTTTGATTCATAACCCTGTCATACTTTATTATTTAAATAGAATTTTAGAATGTGTTACCTATGTGTTATTAATGTTGGTTTAGATATAAGTAGTATTTATGTATATGCATCAGATTTTACTACTTATTAAATTTCAAGTGTAAAATTACTTATTGTTTTTCTTTGTTAGTTTTTAAATCAGAAACACATAGTGTTTTCAATCTTTGAATATTTAAAATTTTTATTTGATTTAGAAACTCTTGTAAGCCTATTGCAACTTTAGATAATTATTCATTATCGATACTCATATTTTAGAAATCATAATATTTTTGAAACTAATTTTAAATTAATTTTTTATAATTTGTTTTTATATTTCATATCTTTTGAGAATAATTTTATATATTTTTTAATTTATACAATTTTCTTTTGTATTTTTCAATTATATATTTTTTTTATTGAGCTCTTTTGTTGTTGATTTTCAAAATAGGTAGCAAATACATTAAATTAATTTCTTGTACGCTAATGCTTTTTTTTGTTAAATTTATTTTTTCATATTAATTTTTATATTAGTTATAATGCTATTTTGACATGCTATAACTATTTTTTAATATATTATATGTTTTTCTTCTCTGTTGAATTTTATAATATCATTTTGTTTAGTTAAACGTTTTTTATTTTCATTTTAAAAATGTTAGCCTTAATATCAAGTTAGTTTTTTATACAATTTTTTTCTTTTGTAAATTAACCGCTTTTGATATTAATTCTTATTTTATTTTCAATACATATTTTTTCTGCTACATCCTCGGCCTTTTTCCTCTCCCACTTTGCCTTAAAACCCTCGTCCTCCATGAACTTCCGAGACATCTCCTTCCGTGCCTCATGGCTGGCTTGGCGGACTGCACCCTCACGGATCAGATGGAGGTTTTCCTCCCTCTCGTCTGAGGCTTCGTGGAGAGCTTGCACCGTCTCAGCTTGGGCCTTGAATATCTGGTTAGTGGCAACGTTGAACATCTCGCCCTTGTCAACTAGCTCGTTCTCGAGATCAGTGATGTGAGCCTGCTGGCCTCTGAACTGCTTGAGGAGGTTAGTCTGGCGAGTGATCTGCGCATTCGTGGCCTCAAGGTCGGACTTCAGCTTGCCAACTACCTTCCCCATCTCCTCGATCTCCTCCGGACGAGGGATGTCCCGCAGCCTTTGCTCAAGACGAGCATAGAGCCGGTTTCCAGCCTCCGCAGCCTGCAAGCATCAACGACCAAAACGTTAAGACATACAACACTTAACCAAAAATATAAAGGAAAAAGGGACACCCTTTACCTTCCTTTGGGCTGACGCCATCTCTACGTAGATCTCTCTCTCTGTCATCTTCTTGAGAGCAGGAAGTTGGCACCCAACGGGGTTAAAGTGATGCCACATGGCCGCCATGCCCTCGGGATTATCCGTGATCGGATGATCCTTGGTGTGCTCGAACTTCCAATGGAACGGCCGGCTACCCTTCGAGCCACCACTCCCGTTAGATCCCAACAGAGTACCTCCGTAGCCCGACTTCTCCCGTCGTCTCTTGGCCTCTTGGAGGCAGGTTGGGATGAGTGCTCAGGCTCCTGGTCGTTAACGAAGCGCTGGGTCTTGTCCGAGCTAACAGAGATCGCCCCCACTAATCGAGGAGGGGGGTTGGGCTGAGGGTCCATCATCTGCTCAACCTCCTCATCACAGAGATGAGGTGCGGCAGCAGCAGTCGAGGTGAGCGCGGCTTCGAGGGCCTCCTTAACACTCTCGGAGCTGCTGGGACTAGCCAGGGCTTTCCCGGATCTCTGATGGAAGGTCGGTTTGCTAGACATGGCTGAACTTGAGCTTGCTGAACTGGAAGCCGGAAGAGAACAGAGAGGAAGGACTCCAGCTGCCAGCAAAACAAACCACTGCGTATCACTTCATTGTTATCAGATAAGCAAAGGTCGTCGCACTAGCTCGACGGGAAAAACTTATCAGGTGCGACAACTGGAGCCGGGCGGGCGAAGTAAGGACTCGTCGAACTCGTTCTCGCGAGAACGTGCTCCAGACAACTTTTCCTCGCCTGAACAATTATAATCAGTGCTCGATGTCGGGATCCCTCGGTGCTCTGGATAGCTGACCTGATAGAAAAAAACAAACAGGAGTCAGAAAGCCGGTCGAGCAAAACAAAGCAAGTATAGCTAGCAAACGTCTAAGCCTAGCTAAACAACCGCTGGTCGCGAACTCTTTCGGCTGCCGGGTGAAGTCGAAGCTTCCGATGGACGCCTCGTTGACCCTGAATTTGAACCCGGTCTTTGCCCAACCGGAATCCTTCTCCGAACTCTCCTCGATGAACCGCCAGTTTGACCTCGGGGACGCGTAGAAAGTCCCGGGACGGTGGGCATTGAATTTAACGGAGAAGAATGCCCTCAAGTCCAAGTAGCGAAAGATAACGGCCTCCTCCTTGGCCCGCATGGCAAATCCGATGATGGCCTGAACCAGATTCGGGCACATCTGTGGTAAAGGCAGTCGTAGGTCCGCTAAAACTTCAAGGACGAAATGGGGGATAGGGAAGAACAGCCTGCAATCCCGGAAATATGTCACGTACGCACAACAAAAACCTGGCTCCACGTTCGCTGGAGTCTCCGCTGACGTCAAGACCGCCAGCTCTACCCATCGGGGATCTCACATTCTTGACAGAAGTCATCGAGAGCCTTCTGGTCGTTGATTTTGGAGGAACCCGGAACTACGGTGTTCCTCCTGGAACCCTCTCCTTCGATTTTTACAAGCGCCGACATTAAAAAAAAGAAAGAAGGGAGAAGAAGACGAAAGATACTAAACCCAGAAAAACCGGGAACAAATATTGAAATTTTTTCGAAAAGCAAACAAGGAACTTAGCAAACGATCTCCAAAAAACCTCCTTTCTCAAAAATTGCGACAAACGGAAGTTTCAAAAAATAAAAGAAAGAGGCAAGAAGAAGTTACCTTTAATCGTCGAACTGGTGCTGTTAAAGAAGGAGTGGAGAAAGTGGACTTTATATCTTGGTAATTATTGCTTACCTCGTAGATCGCAGAAAATCTGGCCACACGCTAATCTCTGCCGTCCAATTCTGAAATCTCAACCGTTGAATATTCGGTTCGACGAATCTGGCGTGCTGCAGAGCCCGATTAATCAAGGCCGTCAGATCATCTTTCTCTCTCTCTCCTTACAGACCTTCCACTTCAATAAGCTTTCGCGCGAATCCTCTCGAGGGCTGCACCTTGTCCAGGGAAGCTCGATCGCCGAAACAGAAAAGTAAATATCAATATTTACTCTGAATCCCAACCGTC